GAATATTGGTTTCCCCACCCTCATCTTTATTTTTCCGATTAGGTATTTTTCATCTGCACCGGCACCTACTGATCCAGCAAAGTTGCCCAGACCTGCTCCTAAGTCTCGGGCTTCAGATTTCAATCCCCAGGATGGTCCTACTGTGCTTTCACCCCCAAGAAAGTCGAGAAGAGTTATGCCAGATCGTGAGGGGTTTGAAGGCAGCACATACCATGCAGATAAGATTGATGATCGAGTTAATGATACAAAACAGGCTGTTGGTGGCATTTCTGGAAGGAGTGAGCAGGTTCCAATGTCAATAGATTTTTCTATATTTGCAACAAAACCAATGAGTAGGCCTACAATTAACAGGTAAAGCATAATTATTTAATGATGTCTTTTAAACCCATTTAAGTCAACCATTAATAAAAAAAAAAGCCTTGTGAATCCCTATGCAAAAAATAAATAATAGTTGCCAAAAAAGTTGTTCAACTTGAAAATCAATTTTAGACATTGTATCAATTTTATCTATGTATTTGTTTAAGCTAGATACCAAAGAATATGCCATCCAGTGGAGAATGTTTAGGAACATTTGTGCTTGAGTTAAATTTTGACCCTTTGTTGAAGTGAGATAAATCCTCAAATTTTTTATGACACATGCTTTATCTGTTGGCAGAAAACTTTTTTGCTTGAATTTATTCATGCTTTCTCATTTATGCCCTTCAGAACTATAAATATGCATATTAGTTTTCGCCCTAAGGGTCTAGATTAATTTACTTTTGACTTTTCTTTTCCTACCTCTACTTATTTGCTTTGCCCCCACATTTAAGGGATGTTTGTTTCTGGAATGGTTTTACCCTGGAAAGTTGTTGGTGAAGCTTTGTTGGAATACTAAAATACCCTTAAATTTGGGATAGTAATGGGGGCAAAACTTTTCCCAAACCATGCAACCTCTTGTTCTATTCTTTCTCTTTACCTTTCTCACTGTCTCAGCGTGATTCATCACAAACAATATCCATTGCATCTCCCTATTTACCTTCCCTCTTTTCTTTTTTCATGTTAATCTGGGCATTGGTTTTCCTTTACCCTTCATTTCTAAGCTTTGCAATGCTGAAATTTTAGTTGATTCTACTCTATTGTTGGCCATGAGAAGCCTAGAGCTGTTTTCTTGGATGACTATAAGCTTCTTCACCTTCTGTATGTAGATAGCTCTTGTTGATATTTATTATGCTGTTTCTCATTGAATGACTGCTCAAAATCAAGTAGTTTCTTGATCAAATTCT